TGAACTCTTGGCCTCCAGTGATCCACCTGCCTTGGCCTCCCAAAGTGCTGGGATTATAGGCGTGAGCCACCGTGCCTGGCCTGGTTGTTATTTTCGGAGCTTCTCATGCCATATTTATGCTTTTGACATGACCCATTTGTGTTGTTATAGCCTCTTTGCTTTATAACACAACAACAGTTCCCAGGCTTACCTTAGACTTGGAATCAGCTATTCCTCCATGGAGTCCTGGTTCCTTATAGTTGAACCACAGTCTGGGTGCCATGTGCCCGTTGCTGTTAGGTTGTCATTGTTGGCAGGGCGCAGTGGTTTATGCCTGTAATCTCAGTACTTTGGGAGGCTGAGGTGAGCAGATCACTTTAGCCCATCAGTTCAAGACCAGCCTGGGCAACTCGGTGAAGCCCTGTTTCTACAAAAAAAATACAAAAATTAGCTGGGTGTGGTGGCATGCATCTGTAATCCCAGCTACTTGGGGGGCTGAGGCATGAGGATCGCTTGAACCTAGGAGGTGGAGGCTGCAGTGAGCCAAGATGCACCACTGCACTCCAGCCTGGGAAACAAAGCGAGACTGCATCTCAAAGAAAAAAAAAAGGTTGTTACTGTTTCTAGAACTTTTTGGTGGAAAGAACTAGAGAAGACATATTTTTGAAAATAAAATAATTGGTTCATATTGATAATTCCAATTTAAATTTTCACATTAAACAATTTTCAGGGGATTTTTTTGTACTTTATATTTTTTTCTCTTACACTGAAAATCTTGGTTCCTAACATTAAATGCAGTATTGTTTCAAAATGATAATACCAATATTATCAATTTGTCTACAGAATGAAGTTTAAGACTCTTGGAGCTGTATTTTTCTTAGAATAATTCTATGTTTAAATACCTTTTAAATCATTGTTTTAATATATCACCAGCCTGATATATAGATTTGCTTCAGTTTCTTTTTGAAGTCTTTTTAATATGTAGAGTCAAAGCTAGATGTATTCAAAAAGCCTTGATTATAGGTATGTCACTTTACCATGTTCCCTCCCTCCTCCTCTTATAGATATAACCACTTTTTATTTCCTATTTGGTTTACTTTTCCAATGGTTCTTTTTGCATATACAAGCAAATGCAGGTTATTTTTCATATTTCCCTCCCTTTTCATCCATACATTTTTAAAGTTGAGATATCGTTCACATACCGTAAGATTCATCTCAAAAAAGCGTGCAGTCTGGCCGGGCATGGTGACTCATGCCTGTAATCCCAGCACTTTGGGAGGCTGAGGCGGGTGAATCACCTGAGGTCAGGAGTTCAAAACCAGCCTGGCCAACATGGTGAAATCCTCTCTCTACTAAAAATACAAAAATTAGCTGGGTGTGGTGGTGTGTGCCTGTAATCCCAACTACTCACAAGGCGGAGGCACAAGAATCAACTTGAACCTGGGAGGCAGAGGTTGCAGTGAACCAAGATCATGCCACTGCACTCCAGCCTGGGTGACAGAGTGAGACTCTGTCTAAAATATAAAAAGAAGACAAGTGTGCAGCTAAGTGATTTTTAGTAGTAATGTTATCCCTTGTTATCTGTGGTGTATAGGTTCCAGGACCCCAGCAGATACCAAAATCCACAAGTAACCCAAGTCTCTTAACATAAAATGGCATGGTATTTGCATATAACCTACACATATCCTCCCATATGCTTTAAATCATCTCTAGGTTACTGATAGTACCTAATACAACGTAAATGCTATGTGAATAGTTATGCTATATGGGTTTTTTATTTGTATTTTTTATTACTATATTGTTATTTTTTATTTATTTATTTTTTTAGATGGAGTCTTGCTCTGTTGCCCAGGCCGGAGTGCAGTGGCCCATGATCTCGGCTCAATGAAACCTCCACCTCCTGGGTTCAAGTGATTTTCCTGCCTCAGCCTCCCAAGTAGCTGGGATTACAGGCACGTGCCTGGCTAATTTTTGTATTTTTAGTAGAGACAGGGTTTCACCATGTTGGCCAGGTCTTAAACGCCTGACCTCAAGTGATCTACCTGCCTTGGCCTCCCAAAGTACTAGGATTACAGGCATGAGCCACCACACCTGGCCTGTTATTTTTTATTTTTATTTTTTCTGAATTTTTTTTATCTGCTTGGTTGAATCAGTGGATGTGTATGGCCAACTATATATTCATATATTCATAGTTTTATAGTTTTCTCTACTGTCCAACTCCACAACATCTCATCATCCCAGAAAGGATCCCCATATCCAGGAGATGATAAAAAAAGAAAAAGAATTCCCATTATTAGTATCATTGCCCATTTCTCTCTTCCTCCAGCCCCTGGCAACCATTGATCTGCTTTCTGTCTCTGGATTGATTTGCCTGTTCTGGACATTTCATGACTATTTTATTTTATTTTATTTTATTTTATTTTATATTTTATTTTATTTTATTTTATTTTATTATTTTATTTTATTTTATTTTATTTTTTTTATTTTATTTTTGAGACAGAGTCTTGCTCTGTACCCCAGGCTGGAGTGCAGTGGCGCAATCTCGGCTCACTGCAAGCTCCGCCTCCTGGGTTCACGCCATTCTCCTGCCTCAGCCTCCCGAGTAGCTGGGACTACAGGCGCCGCCACCACGCCCGGCTAATTTTCTTGTATTTTTAGTAGAGACGGGGTTTCACCGTGTTAGCCAGGATGGTCTCGATCTCCTGACCTCGTGATCCGCCCGTCTCGGCCTCCCAAAGCGCTGGGATTACAGGCTTGAGCCACCGCGCCCGGCCCTCTTTTTATTTTTTTTGAGACGGAGTCTTGCTGTCTCCCAGGCTGGAGTGCAGTGGTGTACTGCAAGCTCCACCTCCCAGGTTCACGCCATTCTCCTGCGTCAGCCTCCTGAATAGCTGGGGACTACAGGTGCCGGCCACCATGCCCAGCTAATTTTTTGTATTTTTAGTAGAGATGGGGTTTCACCGTGTCAGCCAGGATGGTCTCGATCTCCTGACCTCGTGATCCCCCGACCTTGGCCTCCCAAAGTGCTGGGATTACAGGAGTGAGCCACCCCGCCTGGCCTTTTTTTTTTTTTTTGATGGAGTCTCACTCTGTGGCTCAGGCTGGAGTGCAGTGGCATGGTCTTGGCTCACTGCAACTTCCACTTCCTGGGTTCCAGCAATTCTCCTGCCTCAACCTCCGAAGCAGCTGGGATTACATGCGTCCGCCACCACGCCTAGCTAATTTTTGTAGAGATGCGGTTTCACCATGTAGGCCGGGCTGGTCTTGACCTCCTGACCTCAAGTAATCTGCCTGCGCGGCCTCCCAAAGTGCTGGGATTACATGTATGAACCACTGCGCCTGGCCAAAATAAATTTATTTATTTTATTTATTTTAGATTCAGGGGGTACGTGTGCAGGTTTGTTACAAGGGTATATTGCATGATGCTGAGATTTGGGCTACTAATGATCCTGTTGACCAAGCAGTGAACATAATACCCAATAGGTAGTTTTTCAGCCCTTGCCCCATAGTGCTTTTGGAATCCCCAGTGTTTATTGTTCCCATCTTTGTGTCCATAAGTATCCAGTGTTTAGCTCCCACTTACAACTGAGAACATGTGGTGTTTGATTTTCTGTTTCTGTGTTAATTTGCTTAGGATAATGGCCTCCAGCTGCATCCATGTTGCTGCAGAGGACATGATTTTATTCTTTTTTATGGCTGCACAGTATTCCATGGTGTGTATGTGCCACATTTTCCTTATCTAATCTACCACTGATGGGCACCTGGGTTGATTCCATGTCTTTGCTGTTGTGAATAGTGCTGCAGTGAACATGTGAGGGCAGGTGTCTTTTTAGTAGAGCAGTTTATTTTCCTTTGGGTAGATAGTAATGGGATTGCTGGTTCAAATGGTGACTCAGTTTTTAGTTTTAAGGTTTGTAATTTTCTACCCTGTTTCTATTGTATAGCTTTTTTTTTTTTGCTATGCAAGACTATTGCAGTATCTATAGCTTTTTAGTCAGTCTCTGTGATGAATATTTACGTTGTTTCCAGTATTTAGCCATTTAAAATAATGTTGCAGTGATGAATAACCTTGTGCATAGAGTATTTCACATTTTGCCACTATAATTTTGGGACATATTCCTAGAAGTGGGATTCCAAGGTCAAAGGGCAAGTGCATCTACAGTTTTTCTAGAAGTGGTCAGATTCCCCCAAAGAGGTTTTTGTATTTTGCATTCCCAGCAAAATACAATCAGCAATGAAGATTGCTGTACCATGTGTTTATCAATTGTGAATCTGTTCCTAGCATTTAGAAATTGGGAGATTCTACTTAAAAATCCTTATTTAAAAAAAAATCAGAACCTGGCTGTGCTAGGCCTTAATCTACCTATGGCAACAGCTGGCTAGAGCTGAATAATAGCTGCCCCTTTTCTAGGTACTCTCTAGGTTACTGTGGCCTCCACTGGGCCATTTTACTTACTTTCGCTACCTATCAGTCCCCTATAGACAGGAGTTTTTGACCTCTGCTCTAAGTATGGTTGTCTGGGTAGGTAGAATGGAGACGGAGAGTCTGGGACTTGAAGACATAGAGGACAATTTAGATTATTATGTTAGAAGAGCCACCAGTGTGAATGGTGACCCCAAAGAGGGTGGCGGGGAATATGTCAAGGGGATATTAGGAACCCAGGATTGGAATCCTTGAGGAAAGCACATGTCCTAGAGGTCCATGGAAGACTATCTGAAAAAGAAGGCCTATTTTTTGTGGTTGCCATGGTCCTATACCAAAGAGGTTTTGTGAAGGCAGCATTACAGTGAGTCTGGAAAGGACCAGGGGCTGGGAGCAGGGAGTGTGCTAAAGCCCTCCTGGTGTACTCTTCCTGCCTTCCCCCATATACTGAAGTTTGAGAGGCTGGGAAGGTGGGGAATGGGAAAAGGAGCTGCTGCTTATGTTTAGTTTAACATTCTTTGGGTTTCTCCATCTAGGTCTTGAGTTCATTCTCTTCCTGTCCTTTTGGCTTCCCTGTTTAACCTGGTCCCTGTTTCAGGAGAAAAGCCTCATCAGTGCCAAGTCTGTGGGAAGACCTTCTCTCAGAGTGGAAGCAGGAATGTGCATATGAGAAAGCATCACTTGCAGCTGGGAGCAGCTGGGAGTCAAGAGCAGGAGCAAACTGGTGAGGAGGGTGGGCAGAGTGGAGGGCTATACCTTCTAGGGTTCAAAGAGCCAAATCACTGTCCTGCCTGGTTATCTGGAAATTTTCTGATTCTGTTTTAGGTAGATAGACCTGGTCTCATGTGATGGGCTGATGGTTTCCAAACATAGCTGTACAGTAGAATCTTCTGCAGCCTTTTAAAATTTGTATACTTTTTGTTGCTTTTCGCCCCACCAATAAAACAAAGCAATCTGATAAATGAGATAATTTGCAAGATCCCAGAATCTGTGGTTTTAAAAGTTCCCCTAGTGATTTTGATGGTAACTAGTGCTGATCCATGAACCAGCATTTGAGTAACACAGTGATAAAAGATTTCTGCATGGCAAGAGTTTAAGCTTTTTTATTTTTTTAGATGGAGTCTCACTCTGTCGCCCACGCTGGAGTGCAGTGGCGCCATCTTGACTCACTGCAACTTCTGCCTCCTGGGTTCAAGCAGTTCTCCTGCCTCAGCCTCCTGAGTAGCTGGGATTATAGGCAGGTGCCACCACACCTGGCTGATTTTTGCATTTTTGTAGAGATGGGTTTTCACCATGTTGGCCAGGCTGGAAGCATATTTTACTTACCAGTCATGACTACCTTTTTGCCCTGTCTGAAACTTGATAACTCTTTTTAATTCTTATTCCTTTGGCATATCTTTCCTTAATTATTCCAAATATTCCTTTCTAAAGATCCACCTATCCTGTTTCATACGCTAATTCTTCAGATGCTGAACACAAGCAAGGATCATTATCTTCTAAGGCTTACTCTTTCCCTTCTAGGTTTATTCTTGTTTCTCAAAAGTAGGTGAAATAGGTGGCATCCCATCTATAGGTTAACTTCTAGTAATGAAAGAGAAGGCCAGCTTCCTGTTGAAAGAAAATGAGGACCAGGCACAGCCTTGATTGCTGTATGTCTCTCACAACCTATTCTCTGTGCAGCTGAGCCACTAATGGGCAGTAGTTTGCTTGAAGAGGCTTCAGTACCCAGTAAAAACCTGGTGTCTATGAATTCCCAGCCCAGCCTTGGTGGAGAGTCCTTGAACCTACCAAATACCAATTCTATCCTGGGAGTTGATGATGGTAAGACTTCCAACTCTGCTTTATTTGGGAAAAATGGACTGCAACTAGGGGCTAAGGAACGGGGTGTCTCCACAATGTATGTTTAAATTTCATTTCTTATGAGTAGCTGTGGTATGAGTAGCATTTGTGTTCTTATTCTCTGGGGTGGATTAGTGAATCTGTTTAAAAAAAAATTTTTTTCATTGAAGATAATATAATAAAAGAATAAAAAGAAAAAAATTCTTAAGAAAAAATTATTCATAATCCTAGCATCCTTAGCCCAACTATTTCTATCTTTCCTATTGCAGTTATGGAAGAACTTAACTTTTAAAACATTTAAACAGAACATAACCAGGTTTTACAGAGGAGATATAAAGCAATTTCTCCATACCTTCAAAAGCCATATCTTCTGGAGAAAAGAAAGGGCTCTCTAGGAAACACTTGCTCCTCTCTGGTATAGAAATTTCACCCAAGTTACACAGGCCAGGCCCTCTTCTCTGAAAAACTTAACAGGTGAGGTCAGCATGCATTTATTCAGTGCCTACTGTGTGCCTGGCACCATGGGAAAGACAAAAGTAGAAAATAGGAACCTTAAAATCCAGTTGAGAACTGAAAGCTTACATATATATGGGAAAGAACATTGAGAGATAAAAGACAGTATATAAGCCAACATTAAATTATGGTACAGCATAAAATAGTCATATAAGCTAGAAAACCCCTAGAAGAAACTTTTAATTTTTTGAGGGCTAAGTGGTATAACCATAAACTATTTCCAGAAGATTTTCATGGTGATCCCACTGATGAACATTTAAAAACTATGAGGCCCTGTGTTTTTGTTACTCTCATCATATTCAGTTAGTAAGTGCTATTAGTATCATTGGCGACTGCTTTAAGGGTGGCTTTGGTTCCGTTACCTGCTTGACTAAGAGCTTTTGCCCGTTTCATACATAGTTTTAATTCAGTTAACAGTGCTAATGCCGTATTATTCTAAATTCTGTATTAAGATTTCTTGCCTTCCTATTCTCTTTTTATAATACTTTCCAAATTTACTGATAATGCTTATGAGACAGGATTAATTTGGAAGAAATAGAGGAATGTGGGAAATAGAGGAATAGAGTTTTAGAGTTGTTAATGAGAGGTTTAATGATCCAGATAGGTATATCTCTGGATTCACTTTTCATTGAAACATTTTTCTGTTGCTTCACAGAGGTGCTTGCTGAAGGATCCCCACGTTCCCTGTCTTCAGTGCCTGATGTGACACATCACCTGGTGACCATGCAGTCAGGGAGGCAATCATATGAAGTTTCTGTCTTAACTGCAGTAAATCCACAAGAGGTAAAGTGGTCTCTTGCCCTTTGTTTCTGTGGCAATTTGTGTGGGGAATGATTGAGAATTTAGGGGACCTGAAAAAGTCTCCAGTTTCCATTTCCTGGAAACTTTGACACGAATATTTTCCTTTAAATTAAGCATGAGTTCAGCTTGAAAGGAGCCTGAGGGTTAGGGTCTTAACGAATTGGAGATTGGTCTGTCACAGCTGGGACTCGCAGCTTTAAAGTTCTTTTATACACATTCCTCGTTGATATCTGTTCCTACTATTTTCTGCCACACTATAACATGAAGATACAGCTTTTATTTTATAAAGGCACACAGCAGGCACTGCATAAATGCATGTTGACTTCACCTGTTAAATTATTCAGAGAAGAGGGCCTGGCCTGTGTAAATTGGGTGAAATTTCTGTACCAGAGAGGAGCGAGTATTTCCTAGAGAGCCCTTTCTTTTCTCTGGAAATAACATCCTGGAAAAAGTCCCTCAGCAGAAAAGATAGTAACAAAATCATTAAACGTAATTATTGCTCATTCTGCTATGGTCATATGTCTGGGAGATACCAGGCTTAACCAAATGGGCATATACAAATTTGTTCACTTGCTTGCTAAGTGAGAACCATTATCTAAATCAGTGGTCTCCAACCTTTTTGGCACCAGGGACCGGTTTCATTTCACCTCAGATCATCAGGCATTAGATTCTGATAAGAAGTGCGCAACCTAGATCCCTCAAATACACAGTTCACAATAGGGTTTGTGCTCCTATGAGAATCTATTGCTGCTGCTGCTGTGATAGGAGAGGTGGAGCCCAGGTGGTAATGCTTGCTCTCCTGCTGCTCACCTCCTGCTGTGCGGCCCAGTTCCTAATAGGGCATGGACCAGTACTGGGTTTGACTCAGAAAACAGAATGCAAACTGGTCAGTCTTTTAGAATTTTGGGATATTTCACTGGTCTTGTGTCATGGGAGTGGATTACTTCATCACAAGCACATTTCATAGGCATGAACTTTTGTCAAAACCTATGTAGCTTGGATCCTTTCAGTATTACATTAGTTTTTATGGTGTTCTTCCATCTTTTCTCCCTTTTTTTTTTTTTTTTTTTTTTTGAGTCAGAGTCTTGCTCTGTTGCCCAGGCTGGAGTGCAGTGATGTGATCTCGGCTCACTGTGAGCTCCGCTTCCTGGGTTCATGCCATTCTCCTGCCTCAGCCTCCCGAGTAGCTGGGACTACAGGCGCCCGCCACCACGCCCGGCTAATTTTTTGTATTTTTAGTAGAGACAGGGTTTCACCATGTTGGCCAGGATGGTCTCGATCTCTTGACCTCGTGATCTGCCCACCTCAGCCTCCCAAAGTGCTGGAATTACAGGCGTGAGCCACTGTGCCCAGCCTTCTTGCTTTTCATTATAACCTTTATACCACAGTAAGCTATTACATCATTTGAATGATTCTGTATCCTATATTGAATATTCTCCATTATTCTCTAGTATCTTTGGGGGGTACCCAGGATTATAGGGTTCTGGGCATATATGTTAATGCTTTTGCCAGGACCTTTCTATTCATTGTCATGACCCATTTTCTTTGCTTGTATTTAAAGTTTTTGCTCTTGATATCATTGGTTCTTTCCTAAGTCACTTTTTCTGGTAACTCCTTTGGAATGAATCATACATGTCTCACAGAGTCTTCGTCTTTCTCCTCCATTTTTCTTGTCTTCATTTTTCTGTTTTAAAGCTTTTATTATGGAAATTTTCAGAATATAGTGAGAGAGAGACTAGTATGATAAACACACGTCAAAGTTAGGGCTGAGAGCAGCAGCTCACACCTATCTCCTAACTTTGACAACTGTGTTTTTTGGTTTTTTTTTTTTTTTTTTTGAGATGGAGTCTCACTCTGTCGCCCAGGCTGGAGTGCAGTGGTGCGATCTCAGCTCACTGCAACCTCCGCCTCCGGGTTCAAGCAATTTTCCTGCCTCAGCCTCCTGAGTAGCTGGGATTACAGGTGCCCACTACCAAGCCCGGCTAATTTTTGTATTTTTATTAGAGACAGGGTTTTACCCTGTTGACCAGGCTGGTCTTGAACTCCTGATCTCAAGTGATCCACCCGCCTCAGCCTCCCAAAGAGCTGGGATTACAGGTGTGAGCCGCTGTGCTCGGCCCTAACTTCGACAGTTTTAATACTGTATCTGTTAGAGGCATATACTGAAATACATACAGAAGAAATGGCATGCCTACAATTTGCTTTGAAATACTCCCATCACAAACAGCAACAACAACAAAAGGAGGAAAGAGATAAAACAAGAACAGTATAATGTTAATTGTGTCTTTGTTTTTTGAGACAGTCTTACACTGTCACCCAGGCTGGAGTACAATGGCACAATCACTGCTCACTGCGCCTTCAACCTCCCAGGCTTAGGTGATCCTCCTCCTTCAGCCTCTCGAGTAGTTGCGACCACAGGCACATGCTACCATGCCCGGTTAACTTTTTTTGTATTTTTTGTAGAGATGGGGGTCTTATGTTGCCCAGGCTGGTCTTGAACTCCTGGACTCAAGCAATCCACTTGCGTCCGCCTCCCAAAGTGCTGGGATTACAGGCGTGAGTCTTGGAATTGGCTTCAGAGCATCCATGTGTAATAGGTGCTGCCCATTTACAGCCTCAGGGAGACAGCATAACACAGGCTGCCTAAAAAACAAGACAGACCTGGGTGTGGTGGATCATGCCTATAATCCCAGCAATTTTGGAGGCTAAGGTGGGAGGATCACTTGAGGCCAGAAGTTCGAGACAAGCCTGGGCAACAGAGCAAGATCCTGTGTTTACAAAAGGTTTTTAAAAAATTAGCCAGGCATAGTGGTACATACCTGTAGTCCCAGCTACTCCAGAGGCTGAGGCAGGAGGATCAACTTGAGCCTAGGAGTTCGAGGCTGCAGTGAACTATGATTGTGCCACTGCACTCCAGCCTGGGAGAGATCCCATCCCAAAAATCAAACAAAAAAAAGGAAGTATGGTCTTCACTCCAGGAGGGCACAAAGGGCCTGCAGGCTCTAAGTACCCAGTTTCATAATGGAAGCCCAAAACACTTAGAAAAATATTAATAACACAAAGGGGAAAGTGCTGTCCTTGATGTAGCTGAAAATCCTGCACTGTCACTTTTTCCTCATGGGTTTTTGTATATTTACAAACATACCCTCTGTCTGAGTCTCACTTATTTTGTGTGTTCTTCACTTTTACCATTCTCCTCCTCTTACCACAGGCATTTCCATTGCTTATCCCCTCCTTTTCTTTCTTCACTAGCTTGGGTCCTCCAATACCTCCCTTTTTTTTTTTTTTTTCAAGCTGTGAGGTCCTCAGGGTTCCAGGCTTAGTCCTCTTCCTCATCCAAGGTCTAGGTAATAACTTGCCATTTCTCCAATGAGTGAGGAATGTTGATTCCTTAAGAACTTTTCAGGTGCCAGAGAAGGTGAAGGCTATTTGCAACACATGTCCATTTCACCTTTTTGGAGATCACCAAGCAGTATAGATCAAAGTCTACTGATGAACTTGTAATTCCTGTAAATATGCTCTAAAAATAAAAATAGCTTATCAAGAATACCAGAGAACAAACAAATCTGTTATCAGAAATTGTCATGAGAGGCTGGGTGCGGTGGCTCATGCTTCTGATCCTCGCACTTTGGGAGGCTGAGGTGGGAGGATCAGTTGAGCTTAGGAGTTTGAGACCAGTCTGGACAACACAGGGAAACCCCATCTCTACAAAAAATAAAATAAAATTAGCTGGTCCTAGCTGCTTGGGAGGCTGAGGTGAGAGGATCACTTGGGCCCAGGAGGTTGAGGCTGCAGTGAGCCATGATCATGCCACTGCACTCCAGTCTGGGTGACAGAGCCAAACTCTGTTAAAAAAAAAAAAAAAAAGAAAAGAAAAGAAATTACCATGGGAAAATATCAGAAACTACAAGTCACCTCTCTTTGGTTCAGATGGAAAATCTCTGTTTTTCCTCATCATTGTGCCACATCTGAGAATTAGATGGAGGACTCCTCGCACAGGCCCAACTGGGACCCCCAGGGCTTTGGGCTCTAATACTTACTAAAGGTCATTCTAAATGGGGCTCCATATTGACATTGAGTTCACATTCTTGAACTCAAGAACCAGTATAAGAGATTCCCAGCTAGTGTTTTTTTGTTTTTTTTTGAGACGGAGTCTCGCTCTGTCGCCCAGGCAGGAGTGCAGTGGCCGGATCTCAGCTCACTGCAAGCTCCGCCTCCCACGTTCACACCATTCTCCTGCCTCAGCCTCCCGAGTAGCTGGGACTGCAGGCGCCCGCCACCTCGCCCGGCTAGTTTTTTGTATTTTTTAATAGAGACGGGGTTTCACTGTGTTAGCCAGGATGGTCTCGATCTCCTGACCTCGTGATCCGCCCGTCTCAGCCTCCCAAAGTGCTGGGATTACAGGCTTGAGCCACCGCGCCCGGCCCCCAGCTAGTGTTGACTGCATCTTAGATTGCTTTCCAAATAAAACAAAATATAGAAATTACAAATTCTATAACATTTCTTATAAAGTACCTTTGCTAAGTTTGACTGCAAAGGTCTGGATCTTGGCCTCCATTAAAAACACACTATTCTTAACTTTCCTGCCACACTTATTAGATTTTAGTAAGTTCAGTTTTTGTCCTGAGTTTTACTGAATTGTTCCCATCTCATTTTTGTTTGTCTGAAAACAGTCTCACTCTGTCACCCAGCCTGGAGTGCAGTGGCATGATCATAGCTCACTGCACCCTAGAACTCCTGGGCTCAAGCGATCCTCCTCCCTCAGCCTCCCAAGTAGCTAGGACTGCAAGCATGTACCACCATGCCGAATTTTAAAAATTTTCTTGTAGAGACAGGGCCTCACTGTGTTTCCCAAGCGGGTCTCAAATTTCTGGTCTCAAGCAGTTCTCCTGCCTCAGCCTCCCGAAGTGCTGGGATTACAGACGTGAGCCACTGCACCCAGCCTCATTTTGTTTTTTTATTTTATTTTATTTTTGACACGGAGTCTCGCTGTCTCCCAGGCTGGAGTGCAGTGGCGCAATCTTGGCTCACTGCAAGCTCCGCCTCCCGGGTTCACGCCATTCTCCTGCCTCAGCCTCCCGAGTAGCTGGGACTACAGGCGCCCGCCACTGCGCCCGGCTAATTTTTTGTATTTTTTAGTAGAGACGGGGTTTCACAGTGTTAGCCAGGATGGTCTCGATCTCCTGACCTCGTGATCCGCCCGTCTCGGCCTCCCAAAGTGCTGGGATTACAGGCTTGAGCCACCGCGCCCGGCCTCTCATTTTGTTTTTATATGAAAATGGAAACCAATTTCATTTATTATTTCAAAAGCTCCTTTGAATAGAGCCTTGTGTATAGAGTAGAATGTTAGTGGTAGCTGCCATTGTGCAGGAGTCCCTTAGGCTTATCTTCCTTCATCACAGCAAAGGTATTCTTTTAAGCCCAAGGAACCCCTATATCTTTTATGAGCGGGTTTCAGCTCTCATATAGTACATATAAAGGAATAACTCCTCTTTCTATTTCCTTCTCCTACTTGAGTCTTCAGCCTGTCCTTTGGCTGACATGTATAAGATTTTGGTTCCACCATTTCTGTTTTCCCTGTAAGTTAAGAGATTCCTCTGTCACTGACTGGTGAGTAGATAACTACACAAATAATAGTTTGGCTTATAGACTCAGAATATTCTATTGCCAGAGTTAAAATGCAGCCTTATGACATGGCTAAAGTGCTGTCTCAAGGCCACAGTGACATCTGTCAGTCTGTGCATGTGTTTGCTTTGGAAGTAGATGCCCTTCGTTTACCCCTTCAGTGCACTCTCCATCCTCCACTCTTAATCCTTTTCCTGCAGTGCATTCTCCGCCCTCCTCCTTACTTAGTATGAATTATTTTTTCTGTAATTCAACTGTAACCTATTCTAGATTTGCTTTCCATCTTTTACAGTTACTAAACCAAGGAGATTTAACTGAAAGACGGACATGAGCGTGGGTGCTGACTCCTGAAAGAGCAGCTCTATCTGATCTCAAAATGCATATACTGGGAACAGGATGCCATAGCCCACAACAAAACCATAATGAATCTCTGAAGGACAAGACTCTGCTTTTGCCACTCTTCCTCTTTCCTGGTATAGAAGATGGATGTAGCAGAGCTTCTTTTCTAACTACCATCTGATCCAGACAAGGAATGAAGCAATGACTGTGGGCTGGGAAACTGTACCTACCTCTCTTCCCAATGCAAAATTCTGGGATAGACCAAAAGTGAATTTGATTATGTGTTGGCTGAAGTTCTTCATTCTGACTGTTGAGGGGAGGTTTTCCTTTGAAGAGTTTTCATCTCAGATTCAGCTGTCTTTTCACATGGGTGAAATAATTCCTGCTACCAACAACAGAGCTTCACCAGGAAGTTGAGCTTTCAAGATGCCTTGTTGCTTTGAAGAAGGGAGTGATGTCAATTCTCTTGTTACATTCTCCCTTTAGCAACCTGAGTAAGAGACTCTGCCACTGGGCTGCAAAAAAATAAATTACTTGAATCTCCCCTTGGCCCAGGCTGAGGTACTATCTTGTCCTATACACTTCTACTTGGTCACTTTGCTTTCTTCTTTAATGGAACATACAGTAGCATGTTAAGAGGGATTTCATGTTTTTGTTTTTTTAAAGTGAAAAATTACATGATGCAGAGATTCAGGTTTTCCTTTAAATAAACAAAACAGCCCAGTCAGTTCTTTGGCTCTTGTTTTACACAAAATTTGTTTTATTAGAGATTAAAAATTTAGTCTTTCTCTTTAAGATAGTGTACTAATTTACCCTTAGAATTCCATGCAGGTGAAACTGAACCGAGGAGTCTTAGGAAACAACAAGAACATCGTCATTTCTTAAGCCCAGGTGGTAGTTACTGGATTATCACTCTGTCACCACCAAAAAAGATACATCTGAGAAAATGGCAATAAAAATTGATACTTTTGAATTTTTCCAGAAAGACAGTTTTTTAAAAAAGGATGAGAAAGGTGCTTTAGTTAGAGCAGGCACTCTTGTTATCATCCTGTCTCCACAGCTACTGAGAAAATATCTAATCATCATCATGATTTGAGACAGGGTCTTGCTCTGTCACCCAGGCTGGGGTGCAATAGTGTAATCACAACTCACTATAACCTTGAACTCCTAGGCTCAAGGCATCCTCCCACCTCAGCTTCCTGAATAGCTAGAACTACATAGGCATGCACCCACCAGTCCAGCTAACTTTTTGTGTTTTTTTGTTTTTTGTTTTTTGTTTTTGAGACGGAGTCTTGCTCTGTTGCCCAGGCTGGAGTGCAGTGGCGCGATCTCGGCTCACTGCAAGGTCCGCCTCTCCCCCTCCCGGGTTTACACCATTCTCCTGCCTCAGCCTCCCAAGTAGCTGGGACTACAGGCGCCTGCCACCTCGCCCGGCTAGTTTTTTTGTATTTTTTAGTAGAGACGGGGTTTCACCATGTTAGCCAGGATGGTCTTGATCTCCTGACCTCATGATCCGCCCGTCTCGGCCTCCCAAAGTGCTGGGATTACAGGCTTGAGCCACCGCGCCCGGCCGTGTTTTTTTGGTAGAAATAAGGTCTCACTATGTTGCCCAGGCTGGTCTTGAACCCCTAGCTTCAAGCGATCCTCCTGCCTTGGCCCCCTCAAGTGCTGGGATTACAAGCATGAACCACTGCACCGAGCCAGAATATCCTATTATTATTGGTGAGAAGAAAAGTATTCCAAAGTTCACCTACTAGTAGAAAAATCTTGGTTGTCTGGGAAATTTTAAGTTTATTTAAAATGAACCTCATGCTTACATAAACACACAGGCACATTCTAAACAGATAACAGGAGAGAATTGTTTTAAATTATTCTTAATTTGTTAATAACATGCGTAATCACATAGTGTGTAGACTGTATTCATGGCAATTACTTGTATTCTTAGAATGCCAGTTTCTGCTTCATGCAGCCTTTTGTATTAGAGCAGTGGTTCTCAGCCAGGGACGTTTTTGCCCCCTGCAGACATCTGGCAATATCTGGAGACATTTTTGTTGTCACAACTGGGGAGAGGGGTACTACTGGCATCTACCAGGGATGCTGCTAAAGGTTCTACACTGTACAGGACAGTTCCCTTCCCCAACCCTCAACAAAGAATTAGGTGGCCCAAAATATTAATAGCACTGAGGATAAGAAACCCTGTACTAGAAGTTGTAAGTTTTTCATCCCCCATGGGCTAAATCTGACACTCAGATGTATTCTATTTTGCCCATACAATATTTCTTAAGTAATTTTTAAATTAGTTGGTAGCATACAAATTTCTGGCTTGATGAAAACATGGTTGATGTACTAACTCTGAGCCTATATTCTAGCAGGATTTGATACTTGCCAGTCTCTACCGTCTCCTACTGTCTACACCCACTCCACTGATGCATTTGTTTCTGCACTAGCCCCTATAGGCATTTGGGCCTGTGCTGTCTTTTCTGTACCTATTCTCTAAGTGTGAGGCACAAAGCAGGAACCCTTAACTCTAGGCTACGATCCCTCCACCTGGGCCTCCCCACTTTGATTTCCTTCAACCATCCCCTGTTATCCCCTTTTTTTTTTTTTTTTTTTTGAGACAGTCTTGCTCTGCTGCCCAGGCTGGAGTGCAGTGGCATGATCTCAGCTCATTACAACCTCTGCCTCTTGGGTTCAAGTGATTCTCTTGCCTCAGCCTCCCAAGTAGCTAGGATTACAAGCACGTGTCATCACGCCCAGCTGTAATTTTAGTAGAGACGGAGTTTTGCCATGTTGGCTGGGCTGGTCTCAAACTCCTGACCTCAGATGATCCGCCAGCCTCAGCCTCCCAACGTGCTGGGATTACAGGCGTGAGCCACTGCGCCCAGCCTATTAATCTGCTACTCTTCATTTCCCCATCTTCTAGCAGTAGCCATGACTTGAAACCCAAGTTTTTCCTGCCTTGACTCAAACCCAAGTTAGCTGCTTAATATTTTTCAAAAGCAGAGATTTAAGTGTAGTGATTAAGCAAGTGATAGGAGATTTTCTGGTGATTGATGAGGCAGCTCCTCCAGTACTTTCCTGGGGCTTGCAGGCTGTTCTAGAGATCCTTCTAAACCCTGCTCTGGATCTCTGATGCTGAATTTTGTAGTTTTTTGGAACCTGCAGAATAAAACACGAAAAACAAAAACAAAAAAAATTTTTTTTCCAGACAGGGTCTCACTCTCACCCAGGCTGGAGTGCAGTGGCATGATCTCGGCCCACTGCAGCGTGGACAGCCCAGCTCAAGCAACCCTCCCACCTCCGCTTCCCAAGAAGCAGGGGTTATAGGCACGTACCACTGCACCCAGCTAATTTTTTTTTTCTTTTTACTTTTTGTAGAGATGGGGGTTGCCATGTTGTCCAGGCTGGTCTCAAACTCCTGGGCTCAAGCAGTCCACCCACTTCAGCCTCCCAAAGTGCTGGGATTACAGGCATGAGCCACCGTGCCCGGTCTGAAAAAAAGAAAATCTTAAAGCACTGTGTAAGGTTTACGAATGGTCTCTCCCAGCACTTTGGGAGGCCGAGGCAGGCGAATCACGAGGTCAAGAGATCAAGACCATCCTGGCCAACAAAGTGAAACCCCATCTCTATTAAAAATACAAAAAATAGCTGGGCGTGGTGGTGGGCACCTGTAGTCCCACCTACTCGGGTCGGGAGGCTGAAGCAGGAGAATCGCTTTAACCCGGGAGGTGGAGGTTGCAGTGAATCAAGATTGCACCACTGCACTCCAACCTGGCGACAGAGCAAGACTCCGTCTCAAAAAAAAAAAAAAGAAAAGTATCAACATTATTATTATTTTATATGGGATGTAAAGGAAAATTTCTAGGGATATAAAACTAAGATAGGAATTAGGGTAGGGGCTGCTAGGATCTAAGATACAAAACAATTGACAATAGTGGAGATAGATACTATTTTCGTCCTTTGACTCAATATCAAAATGGGTTTTGGAGAAGGTGATACTAATGAGCTACCTTTAAGGAATGCTAGAAAAACAGTTTTATAGTTTTATAAGAAGTCAAAATATTCATGATTTTTCTTCAAAAATAAAGTAGAAATAGTTTCGGCTCATGGAATTGGAACTGGAATTGGAAAATGATCTGTTTCAAAATGGAAGAAAACGAAACATAATTTGTCAGATTTTATTCACAACTGCACCACTGTCTAAATTCAAATGTGTTACTTGGAGGGAGATCTCTGGATTACTTATTATGTAAATACAGGATTATGATCTCAAAATACCAGTGGCTATTCTAAAGTTTCCTCCCAGTGGTATTACTGGGTATGACAATTTACAAAGCTGCAGAATGACAGCAACATCGCAGGTTACCTGGGAAAATCCTTGACTTTGGTCTCCTTCTCTTGAACAGTCCCAGTGCTTTGACCCTTGTTTCTCACAAAGTCTTCCTCCAGCCCAGCCTGCTTCAGGGTGTCTAGATACCATTGTTCTGCTTCTTTCTTGGCTAGATTCTGTGGGATGGAAATTAATCTGTTGTAGCTATCTTACGAATTACCAGACAATTCTAAAGTACTTAATCAGTATTCTTACAATACTGCCACTACCACCACTATCCTTATTATGGGGCACGGATTTGCATGAAAATTATTTAACTCTTGTTTTCGAGCTTTAATGTGGGTATAAATCACCTGAGGTCTTGTTAAAATGCAGATTTCATATTTGGTAGGTGTCAGATGAGGACCGTAATTGTGTATTTCTGACACTCCCCAGAGATGCCAAACTGTTGATTTAGGAGCCACAATTTTGAAAAGCAATGACTTAGACTTTTGGGAGACAAATGAAACCCAGATTTAAAAGGATGGACTAAAAACCTTCTAAGATTTTAAAGCAACAAAGCATTATCAGGAGCATTAAAATAAAAAATAAGCTACACCAAGACTCTTAATGGAAGGACAGGTGGTCTGCATGTGGACCAGGAGATTATTATTTTTTGTTTAAGTATTCCAAGAAAAAATCATAGAGTACTTTGTATTTTTCCTAGAGAGGTGAAAGATCTGTTGAGATCTGAAGAGTGAGCTTGCTTAACATTAACATGAAGCATGAGAGATTTTGAACAATGCAGGTTGCTAAGTAAATCCAAGACCATGTGTGCTTGTGTGTGTGAGAGGAGAAAGATTTACGGAGGGAGGAGGAAGTGAAGCCAGCAAATGCCTAGACAATGTACTAACTATATGGAGCTAACGCCCCACCATTGGAACTAGGTCACTAGGGAGCCCCAACTTGTCTGAAACTGGAGAGGAAAAGGATCCACAGAGCCTAATGCAGCAGAACCAGAGCATCCTTACAGCCTTATGGAGATCTCAGCTGAGTCCAATGTCCCTAAAATTCTATAGAGAATATCTTAAAATGATAGTCTTCCAGGATACTTTGGGTACACTGCCTATGGGTTAGCCCTGCTCCACAAGGAACACACACACACACACACACACACACACACACACACACACACACACACGCATACAAAATAAAAGAAGAAAAAAAAAATTTCAGGCTTCCAGCCTGAAAGCCACTTAGTCTAGAAAAAGCCGGTGGGGTGTTTGTGGGCATCCTAATCCTTGGAGACTTATAAATGTGCCACAGCTCTAAAGACTGGGGAGGCCCAGGGCCAGCAGCACAGGCAGAGGAGAGAGACCTTTCCAGCACTGTGAACAGTGGCTCCAGAGCACAGAAAGAGCCAAATGGTCCCTGTGTCTCTGGGGTCTGATGACCTCTGAATGCTAGACTACAGTGAAAGCTCTAGGAAGTGAAATGTCCCTTTACCAATGCCTTTGGAGTCCACTCTTGGATGAAATCAACACAAGCAGCATTCTCTACTGTACTATTTATTTTGGGAAAATAAGGTAGTAATGAAATTAGAATTTCTGGGCCTCAAGGAAATGTTTAATACCCACATATTAAAATTGTTTCATAATTTCTCAGAGCCTTTTTATCTAAGGCAGAAAGAAAACAAATGATGGTTTAGTTTTACCTTGGCAACTTGTTCAAAGAGATACGGCCTTGTTTGTATTCGCTTCTTCATTTCTTCCAGTTCTTTCTTATATTCTTTCGCTCTTTTACGGTCATTGTTCCTGGAATTAGCAAGATTTTTAGAATTACGTCGTTTCTAGGCCAGGCGCGGTGGCTCACGCCTGTAATCCCAGCACTTTGGGAGGCCGAGACGGGCAGATCACAAGGTCAGGAGATCGAGACCATCCTGGCTAACATGGTGAAACCCCGTCTCTACTAAAAATACAAAAAAAAAAATGAGCCGGGCATGGTGGCGGGCGCCTGTAGTCCCAGCTACACTGGAGGCTGAGGCAGGAGAATGGCGTGAACCCGGGGGGCGGAGCTTGCAGTGAATGGAGATCGCGCCACCGCACTCCAGTCTGGGCGACAGAGCCAGATCTGTCTCAAAAAAAACAAACAAACAAACAAACTACATCGTTTCTAATCCAGAATACCGTTCATTTCCAGTTAAGCAGTGTAACTCCCATGTACATTGTAAATTCCTATGTGACTTGGAAAATCACGGCCCCGCCACTGTGATTACAGGAGCCTGCCTACCCCAGTAACTCCATTTTGCATTTTCTGGCAACAGGCCAGTGGTCTGCTGGATCCCAAGGCAAGCACCCCTTTTGACACATAGGGGATACTGACCGGTTTTCTTTCAGCTTTGCTTTGAACACTTCCTCCAGGCTTTTATGGGGATCCATGGCTTTTGCACGCAAGGTCACAGATTTGGACATTGCTTGAGACTTCTTTTTGTGTATCTCCAGCCACTGAATACTCTCATCTGCTTTGTTCTTTTTTTCAAGTGCACTTCTAAAGGGAGGAGGCAAAAAGAGAGTATAGATTACCAACCTGGGCATACTGAAAAGCAATCTCAGGCCAGGCGTGGTGGCTCATGCTTGTAGTTCCAGCACTTTGGGAGGCCAAGGCAGCTGGATCACCTGAGGTCAGGAGTCCAAGACCAGCCTGGCCAACATGGTGAAACCTCAACTCTACTAAAAATACAAAAATTAGCTGGGTGTGGTGGTGTGCACCTGTAATCCCAACTACTTGGGAGGCTGAGGCAGCAGAATTGCTTGAACTCAGGAGGCAGAGGTTGCAATGAGCCAAGATCACACCACTGCACTCCAGCCTGGGCAACAGAGCAAGATTCCATCTCAAAAAAAAAAAAAAAAAAAAAAATTAAAATAGCTGGGTGCGGTGGCTCACGCCTGTAATCCCAGCACTTTGGGAGGCCGAGGAGGGCAGATCATGAGGTCAGGAGATCGAGACCATCTGGCTAATACTGTGAAGCCCTGTCTCTACTAAAAATACAAAATATTAGCTGGGTGTGGTGGTGTGTGCCTGTAGTCCCAGCTACTCGGGAGGCTGAGGCTGGAGAATGGCGTGAACCCAGGAGGTGGAGGTTGCAGTGAGCCGAGATCACGCCACCGCACTCCAGCCTGGGCAACAGTGAGAGACTCCGTCTCAAAAAATAAATAATAAATAAATAAAATAAAAGCAATCTTAGTAACCTTTTCTGGAAAGTAAGTTGGTGTTTTCAATGAATACGGCATGTAATTTACCTCAACTGGCATTTTAAAAAATAATAAAATTCTAGGATTAAATGCACTGGCAGATGAAGCCTTTCCAGCACTAGGGACACAGTGACTTCCTACCCTAGAAGTGCATTTACTGAACTGGAGAAATGTCAGTTAAAATATCCTTAGTTAGGCCGGGTGCGGTGGCTCATGCCTGTAATCTCAGCACTTTGGGAGGCTGAAGTGGGCTGATCACGAGGTCAGGAGTTCAAGACCAGCCTGGCCAACAAGGTGAAACCCCATCTCCACCAAAACTACAGAAAAAATTAGCTGGGCGTAGTGGCACATGCCTGTAATCCCAGCTACATGGGAGGCTGAGGCTGGAGAATCACTGAACCCGGGAGACAGAGGTTGCAGTGAGCTGAGATTGTGCCACTGCACTCCAGCCTGGGCAACAGAGCAAGACTCCATCTCGAAAAAATATATATCTATATATCCTTACTTAAATAGCCCAACACTCAATAGGTCTTCACCTATTGATCCAAAATAATACTAATAGCTGCCACTTACTGAGTTCCCTATTAGGAATCAAGTACCATTACATTTCACGTAGTCCTCATAACTGCCTTATGAGGTAAATACTAAATCCCCTTTTTATAGGGGAGGTGATTGAGGCTCAAAGGAGGTAAGCCACTTGCTCAAAGCTACCCAGCATGCCAGTGGAAAAGCCCCTATTGGACCAGGATCTTTGGCTCCCAAGCCTCTGGCCTTGACCACTCTGCTGTAAACAGTGGGCTGGAAGGTATCTGGGTTCATGGTTCTTTGGGAATACAAATCTGCATATTCAGAGACAACTGGAAATGAGCCTCCTTCAGTGCAAACTATTTGGCTTCAACTAGTAGCACTTAGTTTGTTCAGTTACCTAAAAGGTAATATGCTGAATTCTTCCAAAAGGAAAATCAATCAAGACTCTTCTATTTGGATGTTTACATTCAAATGGACAGACTGGGAAGGACATGCAAATTTAATCTGCTCATATGACAGATTCCCTGTGGCGGGAAAGCAGATGTGGATGTCCTCTATAGGTGGGCCAGCCTCTTTGTTCAGGAGACCTGGGTTCTTGGGCCCTCAGGATACTGAGCAATTAGCCCTGATTTAGTAGGTCTAACTGAAGTCTGAAGAAGAAAGGAGTATCCCTTGGACTGTAAGTACTTTTCTACAATCCCTGCTGTGGGGCTTAAGGATCCAAGTAGGTTCTGAGTACTCCCCTACATGCCCCATGGGAAGGCAGTAAGACATCAGTCCTCTCCCTGGCCTAGCTGCTCATTACACCATGACCTCTCTTGCCTACTCCAGCTCCGAAGCCTGGTGGAGGAACCCTTGCTGGGGGCTGGCTCAACGAGAACAACATCATAACAGAGTCAGGTGAGTTGAAGAGTTAAAAATAAGCAGGCTCTTGCTGCCCAACGGACCCTGACATCTTCCCAAGATGAATCTCAGAGAATCTCAAATCTATGCAATGGATGTCTCATCTTTGCGGCAACTTCAGCCACCTGCTAGCATGCTTCTCTAAATTCTTGTTCCTCGTTACTCCCTTTCTCTCATCCATGGGCTTTTATCCATGTTCTGTCTGGAACCTTCCTTCTCTCCAGGCTTTGTCTGGCCAACTCTTCCTTGTTCTTCAGGTTTCAGGTTTCACTTTAGGCATCTATTCCACAAGACAAGACCCCCCTGCTCCAGGCTGCCCAGTGCCCTCAAAGTCCCCTCTACCCCCAGTCATTGCACTACTCAAAAAATACAGCCATTGCTTCTTTGCTTTTCTCTATTTCAGTCTAGATAATAAACTGTAGGTTCTCTAAGATCTCCAGCCTTAGCACTGTGCCTGGCACAGAATAAGCCCACTGTGAATATGTGCTGAATGATGGCTAGCTGTTCTCCAAGCACCAGGTGTGGAGAACCGCAATTGTTCCTGTCCTGATCAGAAAATTCCCTTTGACCCCTTGAGGTGTCTCTGATAACAGGAAAGGAGGCCCCTCAGTAGGGAGGTTTCCAGCATTTGGGGCCAGAATCAGAGCATGGGTCTTGTGCAGCCTGCCCACTCACCTGACTGCAGATTCCCTCTTCCTGGTGGCATCTGTGATGTGCACAGGGAGAGTGTTGGCAGAGAGGGAAGCAAGGCCACTCGGAGAACGACTGCTTGGCAGGGGTGGAGCTGGTGGCTGTGGGGAATCCTAGAAGAAACAAAGACTGGTATCGGTGGGACAGCATGTGTGATTAGTTTCTTTTTTTTTTTTTTTTTGAGACAGAGTCTCGTCTCGCTCTTTTGCCCAGGCTAGAGTGCAGTGGCCAATCGAGGCTCACTGCAACCTCCGCCTGCCTGGTTCAAGCAGTTCTCTTGCTTCAGCCTCCCATGTAGCTGGGACTATACAGGTTGTGAGCCACCACGCCCAGCTAAATTTTTGCAGTTTTAGCAGAGACAGGGTTTCACCATGTTGGTCAGGCTGGTCTCGAATTCCTGACCTCAGGTGATCCACCCACCTCGGCCTCCCAAAGTGCTGGGATTACAGGTGTGAACCACCACGCCCAGCCGTTTTCTATCTTTACTAGGATTCAATTTAACTGAAGGACTGAAAATGAGAATCTTTTTTTTTTTTTCCTGGGAATAAGGCAAGGATAATGAGATCTCAAGTTTCGTAACCAAGCCAAGACTTGGATATCAATCCTAAAGTTTTTAGTCAAATGAGGAGAGTTCCTTGGAATTGGTATAGGGACATCAACAACTGATCCCAACTCCTTGCCTCTCAGGCCTGCTTGGACTTATTTCTGTGAAATCCTTCTAGAGCAAGGGAGGAAGAGGAGTGTCCCTATGGTTTGTTTTTGTTTTGTTCTGTTTTTGAGATGAACTTTCACTCTTGTTGCCCAGGCTGGAGTGCGGTGGTGCAATCTCAGCTCACTGCAACCTCCGCCTCCCAGGTTCAAGCAATTCTCCTGCCTCAGCCTCTGGAGTAGCTTGGATTACAGGTGCCCGCCACCACACCCAGCTAAGTTTTGTATTTTTATCAAAATTAGAGATGGGGTTTTGCCATGTTAGCCAGGCTGGTCTCAAACTCCTGAGCGCAGATGATCTGCCCTCCTCAGCCTCTCAAAGTGCTGGGATTAGAGGCATGAGCCACCATGCCCGGCCTGTTTTTTGTTGTTGTTTTGAGATGGGGTCTCACTCTGTTGCCTAGGCTGGAGTACAGTGGCGTCATCTTGGCTCACTGCAGCCAGAGATTCCTGGGCTCAAGTGGTCCTCCCACCTCAGCCTCCTGAATAGCTTGAACTACAGGTACATGCCACCACGTGTGGCAAATGTTTGTTTTGTTTTGTTTTGAAGAGATGAGGTCTCTATGTTGCCCAGGCTGGGCTGTGGTCTGGAGTTTATAGGAAAGTGAATCTGTTTATAACTGAGCTGGTGTTTAAAAAAGATAGGAAAACCTTGTTGAGAAGTGCTTTCCAGAAAGACCTGGCCCCACCCTGTATTTCAGGCCTTAGCCCTGACCCTCCCACAGCTGCCCGGGCTCTCACCGGCCTCCCTCCGGTGGTGGCAGCATTGCAGGGCCGCTGAGGGTGGTGCAGGCTGGAGGTCCTCAGCAAGAAGGGCTTGTTGCGAGTGGCCTCTTGGGTTTCTCTTCTTTTGGCTGCTTTTCTCTGGAAGGCCTTATAAAGGCCCTCATAGTCAGGGACCATGGGATTCACCTGAGGCTGGAATCCAAAGTTAGTGTGCAGAAACCCAAGCTTTTCCTGCTGGGTTCGGGTGGCTGTGCGGGGCTGGGGGTTAGCCTGGTTACCAGAGGAGGCGATAGGGGAAGAGGCCATCTGGAGCATGTCCAGGGCTCTCATCTGGATGCGAATTTTCCTGAAGAGCTCAGCTTCTGTGGAGACAGGATGGTGATGGGTAAGAAAGGACCAGGCATGAAACCTACAGGGTTGGAGAACTTTCCCTCTTTTACACACTAGCCATAAGTGTACTGGAAGCAACTATGAACTTTTCGGGAATTCTGACACGTTAACATCCTGTGCGATGCTTGCAGATGGCCTTAATAGGAGTATTTATGCCACAGAAAATAACAAACATTACAAACCAGCTTGCTTGCTTTTTTCTGGAGAGCTTGTTAATAAATGTCATCCCGAACACCACTGCCTGTGCCAGTCAGGCTGCAAAAGCAGCCACCAGCTACACTCACTGAGCACTTTCTACGACTGCTTCTTTACAGATGAAGCAGAGGAAGTGGGCCAGCCGCCTGCTCCTCTCCCATGTTTCCCCATCTCAGAGAAAGGCCACACCATCCACCCAGCTGCCCAGGCCCTCTGCCCACATCACTGACTCCTCCGTGTCTCTCATCAGTCACAAGTTGCCACTTCCTCCTCTTTAACCTCTCTCCAGTCCATCCTCTTTTCTTCATCCCTGCAACCAGCTGCATAATTTCTCAATTGAATGGCGAAATAGCTTCCTCTTGACTCAGCAGCCCTCCAGTCTTGCTGCCCTCTTGGATCATCTACACAGCAATCAGAAGGATCCTTCTGAACTAGATTTCTGATGGTGGGTCACCCTGCCTCAATCCCTCAGTGGCTCCCCTGTGCCCTTGGGATGAAGTCCAGACTCGCTAGCCTGGCTTGCAAAGCTCCTCATGCCTAGCCCATGTCTGCCTCTCCCTTCCTGCTCCCTCTTCTCTCAGCCCTCTACCTCTCCAGCCCTTGCAGATGCTCCACTTTCTCTCCCCTCCATGCCACATTCTGCCTGTTCCACTTCTTCTCCCTCTTCGCCCCTTCTTTAGTTCAGCCCCAGGGCCCACTTTCTTAGGGGACCTTCCCTAACTGCTCCCTTCCTTCACCAATCCCCGGGTTAGGTCCCTCTGATATATGTTTCCATGCTTCCCCCTTTAATCTTTGTAAATAACTCACCACGTTTGTATGCATTTGTGTTTATCTGTTGTCCTCATATGTCTACAAACTCCATGTCTGTGTGTTCACCATGGCACAGCGCCTGGAGCACGGCACATGCCACTGACAAGTGAATAAAGCCTGAGCCCCTTATTTGGAGCTATACTTTTTGAAATGTGTAAATAATCATCCCCCAGGTAATTTCAGTGACTGATGCCACCTCATCAGGATGAAGGGGCCGTGGGGGAGCATCTCAGGGCAGTATGCCGGTGGTGGCATGAGCCCAAGCTGGTCCTCAGGTGTCTCACTGGTTCTCTATTCCTGCACCTCTGCTGGTGCAGAGGCCCTCATGTGCATTCACTCAGCTGTCAACAGGACGAGCCTTGCGGGACACTGTGGGACCTTTCAGTCCTTACTCCATACAGGCCCCGATTGTGTAGACAGACCTAACCCTGCCCGATGGCCTGCACTAAACGTGCAGCCTCTAGTGGGTCCACCCAAGCAGCAAGTCTCCAAGCCAGGCTAACTCCTGGGCCCTGACTAAATCCCTACGGTGGAATGGCAGGAGGTAGCAAGGTGGCAAGGATGTCTTTACCCTGGAGTTTATCCCCAAGGGCTGGCTCCAGAATGGACCTGGGGATCCTTCTGGTGGCCTTCTGCTTGGAGATCTTGGCTTCAGCTGTGGCAGCCAAGTCTCTCTGTCGAGCAGCTTCCTTTAGTTGCTCCTCCTTCTCCAGGAAGCTGAAGGGCTTCAAAGAAGAGAGGAGCAGTTCCTTCCTCTTCTGAATCCCTGCCCGCCTTCGGGCCTCGCTGCGCTCCATGATCTCTTGGTAGAGGGGCAGGTAGACATGTGCAGGCACAGGCTGTGCCCGGAACTGCCTGTGGCACTCAGCCTCTTCCTCACCCTGCCTCCGGGCCCGCTGCCTCTCCTGCTCAAAAGAGGCAGGTGAGCCCAGCCACTCGGCCTTCTTCCGGGCCTCTCGCAGTGTCATGCGGAATGGCCGAGGGACAGTAATGGATGATGCCCAGGAGCTGACACTTCTGTGCTGGGAGGAAGGCCGGGAGCCTGAGGGAGGCTGGGTCGGAGCCCTGGGAATGTTGGAGGGAAGGTTGCTCAGGGAGCTGCAGCGCCTTGTGGAGCCACACCTGGAAGAAAGCAGATCCACGTGTGGAGGACAGGGCAGTCAGGAGGCCCTGCTCCCTCCAGACCTCCTCCCCAGTGCTCCCTTCCCACTGGTCACAGCTGGCTGCTTGGTCACAATCCTGGCAGCCCTAAAGGAAAGTCTCTTCTCAGAACTGATCCCAGAACTGCCACCTTGCACTCTAATATTTCATATGAGAGAGAGAACAATGAGCAGAGTAGAGCTTGAGAGTCAGACAGACCTGGGTTTAAATCTTGCTTCAAACTTTGAGCAAGGTTCTGTTAAAACCTCAATTTCCTCCTACATAGAATGACAAAAATTAATGTCTACTAACCAGGTTATTGGAGGAGAAAGTAAATATTAAATGAGATAAGGTAACGAGATAATGTATACTTTATCTCATTAAATATTTACTTTCTAAGACTTGACCAAGATAAAGGTACTTTGTTGTCATTCTCAGGGAAAGCGTATTTAGGAAAGGCTTCCCTGTATTTTTTTTTATTTTTCAATATTTATTTATTTATTTATTTATTTATTTATTTATTTTGAGATGGAGTCTTGCACTGTTGCCCAAGCTGGGCGTGATCTTGGCTCACTGCAACCTCCACTTCCCAGGTCCAAGCAATTCTCTGCCTCTGCCTCCCAAGCAGCTGCAATTACATGCACCCACCACCACACCTGGCTAATTTTTTTTATATTTTTAGTAGAGACGGGGTTTCACCATTTTGGCCAGGCTGGTCTTGAACTCCTGAACTCATGATCCACCCACCTCAGCTTCCCAAAGTGCTGGAATTACAGGCGTAAACCATGATGCCCGGCCCATTTTTTATTTTATTTTTATTTGTTGAGTCAGAGTCTTGCTCTGTCGCCCAGGCTGGAGTGCAGTGGCATGATATCAGCTCACTGCAACCTCCATCTCCTGGGCTCAAGGGATTCTCGTGCATCAGCCTCCTGAGTAGCTGGGATTACAGGCACACATCACGATGAGTGGCTAATTTTTGTATTTTTAGTAGAGACGGGGTTTCACCATGTTGACCAGGCTGGCCTCGAATTCCTGACCTCAAGTGATCTGCCTGCCTCAGCCTCCCAAAGCGCTGGGAGTGCAGGTGTGAGCCACTGCGCCTGAGGAAAGGCTTCCCTTTAATTAATCCCAGGGCATCACTGGACTAAGTGTTGCCCAAAGTGATTTAGGATTCCTGGGGAGGAATCGGAACACCTGTTTGGAATCAAAAGCCGATTCTCAGCTACAGCCTCAGTAAATGGCAACTTGCAGAAGTGCTCTTTGCTTTACAGAGGAAGATGAAGCCCAGAGACACGATGTGACCTGTGTGGAGATGTGGAGTGAGGCAGCCGTGAAGCTGCAGTGCCTTACCTCAGAGCCTGGGGGCACTGGACCTGTACCTTCCCCCTGCCCTTGTCTCGGAAGAAACTCTCCAGGTCCTCCTCATCTTCAGAGAGGTTTTCATCACTCTCTGGGTCAGACTGAAAGAGAGACTCCAACAGACACGGTCTGCCTTTCTGCTTCAGTACCTGTAAGGTCTGGTAAAAGCTCCCAGTTGAGTCAGAAGTAGAATCTATCTCCTCCTCTGGGCTGAGGAACTCGTCAAGTTTGCTGGCCCTGGGCAAAACCAGCCCATCCCCAGACAGCTCCTCTCCTGCCTCTGTGTCTGGGGAGGATTTGGGGGAAAATACCTACAATAGAATAGAAATAGACTGTGAGTGAAACAATAATTTCAAAGGTATTCAAATCATAACTTAATTTCACTTTGAACAAGCCTCTGTATATTAGGGACTGGGGAGAATTTGGGGTCTGCCAGGTGCGCTGGCTCATCCCTGTAATCCCAATACTTGGGGAGGAATTTTTTAAAATAAGATGTGTTTCTTGCTCTAAAGACATTTCACAACTTGGTCTATGAAGTGCGCTTCACTGAAGGGATGGAGAGGGAAGTGAAGAGCTGAAGTTGGTTCCCTACACCATACGGTGCAGTAAGCTTTTACAGAGCACTTCACCTGTACCACGCATTCTGACCCCTGCACTCCAGGAATCTGCCCATGATGATGGCCGCACTCTGCCTTACTTGGGTTGTACCTACTTCTTGCTCACCTTCCTTCTCCCCCTTCCCTTTTATCAACCAAAAAGCTTTCCATAGACACTCTATCTTTTTTTTTTTTTTGAGACGGAGTCTCTGTCGCCCAGGCTGGAGTGCAGTGGTGCGATCTCGGCTCACTGCAAGCTCCGCCTCCCGGGTTCACACCATTCTCCTGCCTCAGCCTCCCGAGTAGCTGGGACTACAGGCGCCCGCCACCACACTCGGGTAATTTTTTGTATTTTTAGTAGAGACAGGGTTTCACCACGTTAGCCAGGATGGTCTCGATCTCCTGACCTCTTGATCCGCCTGCCTCGGCCTCCCAAAGTGCTGGGATTACAGGCATGTAATCCCTACTCCTCTGCTTTCCTCATGTTCTAGCTAATTTGCACTCTGTCAAGGAATGGGTGATGGCCGGGAGCAGTGGCTCACGCCTGTAATCCCGGTGTTTTGGGAGGCTGAGGGAGGTGGATCACCTGAGGTCAGGAGTTCAAGACCAACATGGTGAAACCCCATTTCTACAAAAATACAAAAATTAGCTGGGTGTGGTGGTGGGTGCCTGTAACCTCAGCTACTGGGGAGGCTGAGGCAGGAGAATCGCTTGAACCTGGGAGGCTGAGGTGGCAGTAAGATGAGATCACACCACTGCACTCCAGCCTGGATAACAAGAGCAAAGCTCCATCTCAAAAAAAAAAAAAAAAAAAAAAAGGAATGGATGATTAACAAGAGAGACAGTATGGTCTGGCTGGAAGAGCAATGTCCTAAGAAGCGGGACACACAATTAACTTTTTCAGTACTCCATTCATTCATACCATATTTACTGGGTGCCTGATGTGCACTGGGCATTTGGCTGAGAACAAGACAAACAAGATCCTTACTCCCTTGAAGCCTACACTGTAGTAAGAGAAGACAGACAACATAAGATGATAAATTCCATGAAAACCATAAACAACTGTGAGGTTATAAAAAGATGGAGTGCCAGCCGGGCGCCGTGCTCATGCCTGTAATCCCAGCACTTTGGGAGGCGGAGGCAGGCGGATCAAGAGGTCAGGAGATCGAGACCATCCTGGCTAACGTGGTGAAACCCTGTCTCTACTAAAAATACAAAAAATTACCCGAGTGTGGTGGCGGGCGCCTGTAGTCCCAGCTACTCGGGAGGCTGAGGCAGGAGAATGGTGTGAACCCGGGAGGCGGAGCTTGCAGTGAGCCGAGATCGCACCACTGCACTCCAGCCTGGGCGACAGAGACTCCGTCTCAAAAAAAAAAAAAAAGATAGAGTGTCTATGGAAAGCTTTTTGGTTGATAAAAGTCTATCAGATTAAGGTTATTAAGAATGTACTTGTAATCGGTGCATCAGTTAGGTTTATTAATTTGCTGCAGGACACTACGGAAAACCATAGGGAACTTAGGGTCGGGGTGTAATTTTTATAGGGCTGGCCAGCTTCCCTGATTGATTCTGGAATGGTGTTGTCATGAAGTGGGGACAATTTAATAAGTGAATGATTGAGCTTTTTTTTTCTTTTTTTAGGCAGGATTTTGCTCTGTCACCCAGGTTCTGGAGTGCAGTGGTGCAATCATGCCTCACTGCAGCCTGAACCTCCTGAGCTCACGTGATGATCCTCCCACCTCAGCCTCCTGAGTAGCTGGGACTACAGCACTCACCACCACATCTGGCTAATTTTTTAATTTTTTGTAGAGACGGGGTTTCACCATGTTGCCCAGGGTGGTCTCCAACTCCTGAGCTCAAATGATTCGCCTGCCTTGGCCTCCCAAAGTGCTGGGATTACAGGTGTGAGCCACTGGGCCCCGCCCAAAGGCAAGTCTTATTCAAAAGGTGAGAAGAATAAAGTAGGGTGGGTAACTAATTGATCAGTAAGCAGTATAATCTGGAAGAAGGAGTATTAGTAATTTTGCACCTATAGTATGGACCTGAAACACTGTTTCCTGATGCTCTTGCTGTTGGCATTATCTATGCCTATGACAGTCTGAGTTATACTTTCTCAGTCCTGGGCTGATTTTTATTTTTCATTGTGGAGGAACTTTAAATTGACAATTGATTGATGAGGAGCCAGCCTTACTAAAATCCAGGGTAAGAGTCAGAGGTATGTATGCACCCTAGCCCTGGCTCTGCTACAAAGAGTGTGCGATCTTGGGCACATTTTTTTTTTTTTTAAAGACAACTTTATTAAGATATAATTTCTATACAATATACTCGTTCATTTAAAGTGTACAATTCAGTGGTTTTGGTATATACACAGAGTTGTGCAACTACCATCACAATTTTAGAACACCGTCATCGCCCCTAAAATAAACGCCATACTCTTTAGTAGTCACTCCCTATTTCCCCTAACCATCCACACCCCACCCCACCAGCCCTAAGCAACCGCAAGTCTACTTTCTGTCTTTAAGAATTTGGGGGCCGGGCGCGGTGGCTCAAGCCTGTAATCCCAGCACTTTGGGAGGCCGAGACGGGCGGATCACGAGGTCAGGAGATCGAGACCATCCTGGCTAACACGGTGAAACCCCGTCTCTACAAAAAAAAAATACAAAAAAAAAAACTAGCCGGGCGAGGTGGCGGGCACCTGTAGTCCCAGCTACTCGGGAGGCTGAGGCAAGAGAATGGCGTAAACCCGGGAGGCGGAGCTTGCAGTGAGCTGAGATCCGGCCACTGCACTCCAGCCTGAGCGGCAGAGCGAGACTCCGTCTCAAAAAAAAAAAAAAAAAGAATTTGGGGTCCGCCAGGCTCACTGGCTCACGGTAATCCTAGCACTTTGGAAGGCCTTGGCTGGTGGATCACTGGAGGCAGGCGCCACCACACCTGTTTTTTTTTTGTTTTTTGTTTTTTGTTTTTTTTTGAGACAGAGTCTCGCTCTGTCGCCAGGCTGGAGTGCAGTGGTGCGATCTCAGCTCACTGTAAGCTCCGCCTCCCGGGTTCAAGTGATTCTCCTGCCTCAACCTTCCCAGTAACTGGGCCTACAGGCGTGCGCCACCATGCCCAGCTAATTTTTGTATTTTCAGTAGAGACGGGGTTTTGCCATGGAAACCAGCCTGGTCTCAACTTCTTGACCTTGTGATCTGCTTGCCTCGGCCTCCCAAGGTGTTAGGATTACAGGCGTGAGCCACTGCGCCTGGCCTTTATTTTTTTTTTAATTTTTAGTAGAGACGGGGTTTCACCATGTTGGCCAGGCTGGTCTCGAACTCCTGACCTCAGGTGATCCACCCGCCTCTGCCTCCCAAAGTGTTGGGATTACAGGCGTGAGCCACCACCCCGGTCAAACGTGGGGGGCAATTTTCTTAATCTTCTTGTGCCTTAGTTTTCTACAAAAAAGGGACGACAATTGGTCATAGAGTACTAACAGGATAAGCGAAAACTTATGTGACATTGCCTATAAGGAGCCTCGTATAAAGTCCGAGAGGTTCAGGTCTCCAAATCAGAATCCGCCTACTGGTCCCTAAACGCTCATTTTAACCCCACGCCCCTCCGTGACACGCCCCTGCTATCTGTTTCCAAGGCAACGCCAAACAGTTTCCTCTCTGGGATTCCTTTCCCGGGGGCAGTCCCGCTTCCTCCCTTCTCTTTCTCTCCTCACCTGACGGCTCCCCTCCGCGCCTCCGGGGGCTCCCTCAGGCCTCTCCACGGTCATTTCAGCTGGACAGAGGCAGCAGCAGCTGTGACAGCGATAGGTGCAGCAGCGGCGACAGCCCTAGCTGTGCAGAGCCAGGGTCCACCCCTTTCTAGCTTTGGCGTCTGATTGGCTTCCAGGGCAGCCTCCGATTCATCCCGCCCAAGGAGGCAAAGTTCGTTTTCCGATTGGCCTATTCTCTTCGCGCATTTTATTTCCGGTTCTGAGGGCGCCGCTGAAGCGGGACGGGATTGGAGTGCTCTGCTCCGGAAGCACTACCTAGTTGGGCCTGGCGGAGGCCTGAGTGCGACGGCGCAGGTCTGCACCATGGCCGCCCGGCTCGTGAGCCGATGCGGGGCTGTGGGTGCAGCTGCCTACAGCAGCCCGCTGGTGTCCTGCCGCAGGTGGTCCGGCGCCTCAACAGACACCGTGTATGACGTGGTGGTGTCGGGTGGAGGCCTGGTGGGCGCTGCAATGGCCTGTGCCTTGGGTAAGCTCCTCTCCAGGCTACTAGTGGCGGGACACTGGGCCGCGGAGGCACGATGAGAGCCGTGAGAGCCCTAGCACGACTTGTCCAAAGACAGTTTCTCCCCTGCCCTCCTAGAGGAACCCCAGGGCAGGCTGGAATGCGTGTGGTCCTTCAGGGCCCAGTAGGGTCAAAAGTGGGAGGGGCGTTCTGAGTCTGTTCTACTCATAGGAAAGCAGGCCTTCCCAGGGTTATATATGAGAGTTCCAGTTTCTCCAGATCCTGGACAGTACTTGTCATTGTCTTTTTGTTTATAGACATTGTAGTGGGTGTAAGTAAAGTGGGATCTTCAGGGTTTTTTTTCTTTTTTTTTTTTTTGAGACGGAGTCTCGCTCTGTCGCCCAGGCTGGAGTGCAGTGGCCGGATCTCAGCTCACTGCAAGCTCCGCCTCCCGGGTTTACGCCATTCTCCTGCCTCAGCCTCCCGAGTAGCTGGGACTACAGGCGCCCGCCACCTCGCCCGGCTAGTTTTTTGTATTTTTTAGTAGAGATGGGGTTTCACTGGGTTAGCCAGGATGGTCTCGATCTCCTGACCTCGTGATCCACCCGTCTCGGCCTCCCAAAGTGCTGGGATTACAGGCTTGAGCCACCGCGCCCGGCCGGATCTTCAGGTTTTAATTGGTATTTCCCTAATGATTAATGATGTTGAATATCCTTTCACATGTTTTTTGGTCATTTGTGTGTCTTCTTTGGAAAAATGCCTATTCAGACCCTTTGCCCGGTTTTTAATTGAGCAGTTTGTCTTTTGAATACTGAGTGGAAGAGTTATTTTTATTTATTTTTCGAGACAGGGTCTTCCTCTGTGCCCAGGCTGCAGTGCAGTGGCACGATCACAGCTCACTGTAGCCTCAACCTCCCTGGCTCAATTGATCCTCCTGCCTCTGCCTCCCAAATAGGTGGGACTGCAGGCATGCGCCACCACTCGGCTGATTTTTGTATTTTTTTGTAGAGACGAGGTCTCACTATGTTGCCCAGGCTGGTCTGGAACTCCTGGGCTCAAGCAATCCACCCGCCTCAGCCTCCCAAAGTGCTGGGATTACAGGCATAAGCAACCCTGCCTGGCCATTATTTTGTTTATTCTGTATACAAGTCCCTTATCTGATAAATGACTTGCAAATATTTTCTTCCATTTTGTAGTCTTTTCACTTCCCCCCGCCCCACCCCCCAGACGGAGTTTCGCTCTTGTTGCCCAGGATGGAGTACAATGGCACGATCTCGGCTCACTGCAACCTCTGGGATTACAGGCACGTGCCACACACCCGGCTAATTTTTGTATTTTTAGTAGAGACGGGGTTTCACTATATTGGCCAGGCTGGTCTCGAACTCCTGACCTCGTGATCCACCTGCCCCTGCCTCCCAAAGTGCTGGGATTACAGGCATGAATCACCATGCCCGGCCCATTATGAGATATTTTTTGCGATTTTTTTTTTTTTTTTTTAAGCTCCTAAGCTATCATTAGTATTAGTGTTTTTTATATGTGACCCAAGACAATTCTTCTTCCATTGTGGCCTGGGGAAGCCAAAAGATGGGACACCCTGGTCTGAGGGCAGCTATTCCACCCTATGATCCTCATCTCACAAGATACACAAAATTTAACTTAAAGCAGATCATAGACTTCTGTAACAGGGTGGTTCTCATGGCTACTTGGGAGACTGAGGCAGGAGAATTGCTTGAAACTGGAAGGGGGAGGTTGCAGTGAGCCGAGATTGTGCCACTGCACTCCAGCCTGGGTGACAGAGTGGAGACTCTGTCTCAAAAAAAGAGAAGAAGCTAGTGCCCTCTACAGAGTGTGTCCCTGTGCCCCATCCTCCACAGCAAAAGCTGCTGTGGTACTGCAGCAAGAGGGGCCGCTCACTGTCTGTATGGCTGGAGCTAACTTTCTTTTTTTTTTTGAGACAGAGTCTCCGCTCTGTCACCCAGGCTGGAGTGCAGTGGCAGGATCCCAGCTCACTGCAACCTCTGCCTCCTGGGTTCCAGTGATTCTCCTGCCTCGGCCTTCTGAGGAGCTGGGACCACAGGCGCCCGCCATCATGTGTTTTTAGTAGAGACGAGGTTTCACCATGTTGCCCACGCTGGTCTCAAACTCCTGAGCTCAAGGGATCCATCTGCCTCAGTCTCCCAAAGTGCTGGGATTGCAGGTGTGACGCACTGTGCCTGACCTTTTTTTTTAGTTTTTGAGACAGGGTTTTACTCTGTCCCCCAAGTAGGAGTGCAGTTGCACAAACATGGCTCAGGTGTGCCACCATGCCTAGCTAGTTTTTTAAAAAATATATTTTTGTAGAGACAGGGTCTTGCTATGTTGCCCAGGCTGGTCTTGAACTCCTGGGCTTGAGCGATCCTCCCACCTCGGCCTCCCAAAATCTAAGATTACAGTTGTGAGCCACCATGCCTGGCCCACCTTTTCTTTTATAAACTCTAATTCTTTTTTTTGAGATGGAGTTTTGCTCAATCTTGGCTCACTGCAACCTCTGCCTCCCAGGATCAAGTGATTCTCCTACCTCAGCCTCCCGAGTAGCTGGGATTACAGGTGCCCGCCATCACGCCTGGCTAATTTTTTTGTATTTTTAGTAGAGACAGGGTTTCACCATGTTGGCCAGGCTGGTCTCGAACTCCTGACTTCAAGTGATCTGCCCACCTTGGCCTGCAAAGTGCTGGGATTACAGGTGTGAGCCACCTCACCAGCCTTTATAAACTCGTAATTCTTTATTCTTGGTTTAATCTTGAGACTGCATTGAATTTTGCTTATTTATTCCACTTTTTCTTTTGAACAGGAGTTGTAATTTTTAGTGACTTTAATACTTGAGATTAGAAAGAGCTGGTGTTTAAATACTATAACTTCTTCACTTCATTTTTCCTTTCTAGGGTGTTTCGTTTGCTAGTTAGGTGTTTGTCATTACTTGCTTCTTGGCACGTGGCATGTAGTGGTCTTTGGAGAAGCCTTACAGTTGTGGGCCGGGTGGTTCTCATGGCTAAAAGGGTGGTATATGTTATTGCTTAGGACTCTGCATGGGTATAGTGTTTACTTTATGTTCTCTGTAAGAAATTCATACTCTAAGGGTTAAGTAGTTACTCTGTTGTTTCTCTTGGTAATGGGAAAAGAAATACTTGATTTTCCTGAAATGATATAAATTTTTTATTTTTTTATTTTTTTAGGGTATGATATTCACTTTCATGACAAGAAAATCCTGTTGCTAGAAGCAGGTCCAAAGAAAGTATTGGAGAAATTGTCAGAAACTTACAGCAACAGGGTCAGCTCCATTTCTCCTGGCTCTGCAACGCTTCTCAGTAGTGAGTAGAAGATCCTCCTTCAAAGATCCAGTCTCCTTTCCCACTCAGCTTTCTAGTGTATCCCATGGGGCAGAGTCATCAGAGCCTCTGACAAGGAGGGAACTCACTGAGGTGGGTGGAGAGGGGGTGGGATTGGTAGTCTAATGCAGATGTGGACCCCTGCAATTGCCACTGCATCAACTCCCTGTCAGGAATGCATCCTTGAGGCATGTGGGTCCATCATGTTGACTTCACTTGTGATGTTGTGTCATTATGAATTGGTGGAACTGAAATCATATGAACTAATCATGAACATTCACTTTGAATAGCAGTGCTCTCTTCATCCTGAGTCAAGCCCTCTAGCAAGCTAGGGAGCTTGCATGTGAAATGCTCTTGGGGTGCAGATGAATAATGTGTACACGTGGAACCAGTTAGCAAACTGTCATTAGGTCTGCTGGATATTTCCCTCAGACCATCCTGTCTGTAATCACCCTATCTCAAATTAAACTCTTCCATCACTTTCTAGCCCCTTTCCCTGCTCTATTTTTCTTCATAATGCTTACTACTACCTGGCATTATATTATGTGTTTGTTTTTTATTGTCCATCTCTCCAATTAGAATGTTAACTGCAGAAGGCCAGGGACTTTGTCCATTTGGTTTCCCACTTTACTGTATTTGGCACATAGTTGGTGATCAGTAAATATTTCCTCAGTGAATGAATCTGTTCAGTGCTATGAAGAGCTAAAAAATAAAAAATAGTGCCAGGCACAGTCATGTGTACCTGTAGTCCTGGCCACTTGGGAGGCTGAGATGGGAGGATCACTTGAGCCCGGGAGTTTGTCCAGCCTGGGCAATATACCGAGACCTTGTATCTTGAAAAAGAAAAGACAAATGGGCCGGGCGCGGTGGCTCAAGCCTGTAATCCCAGCACTTTGGGAGGCCGAGACGGGCGGATCACGAGATCAGGAGATTGAGACCATCCTGGCTAACACGGTGAAACCCCGTCTCTACTAAAAAATACAAAAAACTAGCCGGGCGACATGGCGGGCGTCTGTAGTCCCAGCTACTCCGCAGGCTGAGGCAGGAGAATGGCATAAACCCGGGAGGCGGAGCTTGCAGTGAGCTGAGATCCGGCCACTGCACCCCAGCCTGGGCGACAGAGGGAGACTCCGTCTCAAAAAAAAAAAAAAAAAAAAGACAAATGGTTTTAAGTTTCTAGAAATTCTTTTAAAAATAATTTTTAAAAAATTGTCTTTAGGAGTTTTATAACTTCAATAGGATGATGAAGAAAAAGAACAATATGGATTTGGTTTTCTTTTTTTATTTCCCCTACTTTATGTGATTCGACCTTTTGATCATGGAAGCTGGGTCTGTATTTATTTATTTATTTATTTATTTATTTATTTATTTGAGATGGA